ATAATCAGTACTAGGCTTCCAAGAGTATACAGAACTTTTATAAGTGACAACGTGGAACCTCACATATACAAACTGCAAGTAAACAATCTTTGCTTAAAAGCAGATGTCTTGGGACCTCTTCTCGAAAGAGACTCGTATAGTTCGATACTCGCAGGCAACCACCTAATCTTCGCACCTTCGCTTACTTTAAGTTTGACTATGAGGGAATCCATGAAATGGAGTCCTAGTCTTGGATTCTGGATTCTGCGGTGTGGATTCTGGATTCCCGGATTCTGTGCAAGTGGAACTTGGTTTCTGGATTACAGGCAGCAGGATTCAGGATTCCTTAGAATGTGTTCCGGATTTCCAAAACCAAGGATTCCGGATTCAACAGCAAATATTGCTGGATTAAGGGATTCAGTCAAGTAAAAATTATCCGGATTCTCTTTCATGGGGTGACTCTCTGTAATGTTATGTAAAGCGATGATTTGGAGTACAGTAGAGATGAAAGAGGTTCATTTTACTTACCATGAGCATAAAATCCTCCTTTTTAAGACATTCTTGAGACGTTCTTCCCCGGTATTGAAAAAGCGTTGCTTTGATCTCACTCAATCCACCTTGATCTTGAAACGAGAAACACGCCCTCTTCTATGATCCTTGTAATTTTTGTTCTACAAAAGAATAAACCAATAACTCAGTACCAAAAGGTTGTTCTAATTGTAAAAAAAAGGAAATGTGCTTTTTATTATTAACCAATGAGCTAAACCAATTGCAGTTTACTTCACTATTAAAAAAGAACCGATAAAGTCTTTAAGTAAAATTCCAATCTCACCAACCCTGGGTTTTTCTAAACTCCCCCTTACTGCGCTTTTCAAAAACACGTGAATTCTGAAGTTCAAAAGCCAACTGATGCTTGCGTTCTTCACGGCCGTTAGTCATCTTAGCGGATCTCTTAGAAAACAGAAGTTTGTGATTGGTGGATTTCGATCCGCTTTGTGTGTCTCTTCGTAGCTTCTTTGCTTGTGATCGTAATTATGTTGACGGCAGCCAAAAACACAATTGCGAAGACAGCTTTTGAACTTCAGTGTTCTGGTCATCATCATTTATAATTTATTATTGAGTTTACTACAAAAAAAAAAAGGAAAGAGGATCATTTAAACCGTAGAAGAATTGTATTTTCACCTTACCGAAGGCGTACGCTGAGTGAACTGACGTACGCAACAGGACGGAAGAGGGAAGAAGACAGCAAACCTTAATGTGTGACAAGCATGACAATAATTTTGTTTGAGAAAACCTTCCGCCAAACTTCACCTTCTTTTAAATAGATCTCTTTTTGTAAAAGACTGGAAAAAAATTAATAAGTAACAGCCCTGTCAATTGTCACACCCAAGCGTTTTGCCGTCCTCTTCTTTCTGCCGTCTTGTTGCGATGTGAAAACAATAATTTTCCATTACTTAGGTTTTCTAGCCCTACCTACTGATTTGTTTTTACACGATCTTCGTCCTTCTTTTTCTCTTGTTCTCAAAGATCAGCAGCAAGACTAGAATTTTTTCACTGAAACAAGAACAATAACAAATAAGTTTATCTCTCTTTTTTTTTTTTTGGACGTTGTGGTGCATTCTTATTGTTTAGATTGAATGAAGGGCTAACCATGCTTCATTATCATTTGAACCATGCAAAATGATACCATCAAATCATAAGAATGATGAATAATAATATCTTTTGATAATATCGTAATCTTTACAAATAATGGTATGATGAGCTGAAACAGGTAGCAACCTTCCATGCGTTGTCAAGGTGAATTTTACCGGGTGAGATAACTCAGGATAACTACTTGCACTCAGGGTGACAGGAAATATTTTTCAAAAGAAGGAATTTTTCTAACTCCTCTATTCAAAAAAAGCTGTACGAGATGCTGATATTAAGACATGACGAAGAGGGATGTCATGCAGTGCATGCGCATGTTCTGACATGGATATCCATGGTTCCGATAACAAAGTTAGATTTGGTTTTCAAATCAGGGACACTGCTGCATTTCTCGTGGCGTATTGTTGTGGTATATTAAATGCTTATATGTACCCTAGCTGATTCTAGAGAATAAAGTAGTGAATTGGTTTAAATGAGAATGTCTTTTCAGTTTTTAGAATGAGAATAAATGTCAATATATAAGTGAAACAATCGTGTTTTGAAGCTTTTAACCTACCTTCTCCTGGCTCCGTTCACCGCCAACTGTTTTCACTACGAGGTCTTTTACATCCAAACAAACATCTCCAACTGAAGCATACGGAACATGAGCCGGCGTATAAAAACCTCGAACACTCTGTTTTACATTACGATTGTACTTTTCTCGCCAATGGTCTTCCGGTAATTGTGATTTGTAACGACAACCCGTTCGAATTCGGACTTTTCGCTCGCCATGCGGCGCGACGAAAGGCGGTTGAAACTCAGATCGAAAATTTTGTTTCAAACATCGAACAATGTCTGCGTAAAGTTGGTTATCCGATTTTTGAAGCACGATCATGTTACAATTGCGCCAATATTTTCATTAAAAAAGGCGATGTGGTACAAACAGTAGCACAAGAACAAATGCGAACTAAAACTTTTAAAACTTACAGTTACCATAGGAACGTTTCATGACGAATTGTTGTGACGCGGCACTTTCAAACACTTGGAACACTCTGCGCCTGCAGTGCATCAAGGAACCGAACGAGAATGAAAAGCGACGTCGAAAAAAAATAATGGTCGGGTGAAAAATAGAAAAGGAGTGAAGAAAGAAGAGGGCGGCAAAACGTTTGTTTATGACAAACGTAACAGGGCTATTACTTGCGCGTTAGACATGGTGGAGATTTTATTTTCGCGGAAAAAAGTGTCCTAAAATGTGTCTTGGCTAACGTTCTTACCGACCTTACCGTCTCTTTCGTGCCAGTCGCGAAACAATGGCGAGCGATCCAGATGGTAAACAGAGTGACTAGTCAGATAATCCAGTAAATAGTGAGGTCGTTATAAATTGCGGAGCAATTTTCTACGAAGAAGGAAAAGGGGGCGAAAATTACAGAAAAAAAAAAGTTCCGTTGTTTGGTAAATGGAGGGGAGAAGAGGCTGGGGAAATTCAGGGAAACCGTTTGGTAAGTACTATTTTATTGTAGTTACTCCTAACCTACCTCAACAGTACATCGATTATCGATATTTTCCTGTCCTATACAGTCTACTTGAAAAAATGGACTGACAGTTATCGGACCTTATCGTATATGAGTTTCACTGAAAACTTTTGATAAACAAAGACGAGTGCGATGGTCGTACATGTATGTTTATCGTATGCTTAACATCGACGCACCTTAATTTGGAAATACTATCCAAAAGGCGGATTTTAGTCTTGAGAACGGCAACTTCTTCCCATTTGCCACTGCGGTTTCGGTATTTGGGTAAATTTTAATGCGGTATTGTGCTTTTCTCTCTCTACCACGTGCGGTATTGCGGTATTCGTACCCCCTTACGCCCCCCTCCTTTTACGAAAAGATCTTCTGAATTGAAGTTTGGTGGAATTTTTTTTCACACATTACTGATTGTCACTCTTGTCACAGAAGGTTTGCTGTCCATTTCCTTTGCCGTCCTATTGCTTATTAAAGTTCACTTTTTTGAAGAACAAGTCATTGGCCTTCATGTTTTGCAGAAAGATCACGATCTGTTTTTGCCTTTTTTACACACCATGAGCGCCATAGATGACATGAAATATGAGCGCGTTTTTATGTTGTTTGTTTGTTTTTCTTTTATCCCCTAAGTAGTTATAAAAGAGCCTAGGGGCAGCATAAAGCTTGACTGGGATGAAAGTGATTCGGCACTACCAGGCAAAAAAAAACAACAACAACTTGATTTAGCAAAACATGAGGTCAAGCAAGTGCACATCTTGTAATACAACCAGAGTTTAAAAATACGAAGACTTCCAATGACACTCAATCCGATATTGGAAAACCATCTGACCGTCACATAACGTGTCCAGTAATGTGTATGTCCATCTTTGTTGTTGTTTTAAATCGTCTTTTGTAGCTTAAAAGCGGAGCTCTCGCGCGCGAAGCACCATGGGTAAGAAATCTAGCCATCCGAGAAAATTTGGTAATCAGGTGACCGTACACCGACCGACCGCCCGCCCGAGCGACCGTCCGTCCGCACCACAGGTATACCAATGTAAAATAACTCAATCAACAGGTATGGCAACCCAAATGCATCTCGAGGTTATTTAGCGGGAAAATCGCATAGCCACCGGCGTCTTGTAAAGCAGAGACAACTAAAGACGAAAACGGAAAGCGGAATTTTTTTCTGTATCTGTCTTGTCTAAAGTATTTAGTTTAGACTAATTGTCACGTCCACAAATTTGGAATATAGAGCGGAGAAAGACAGAGAAAAAGAGAAAGTAGGCGGCAGGCCAGCGAAGCTCAACGAGAGAAAGGGCGACGGAGGTCTAGAGCGAGAGATAAAAAACAAATGTGAAATGCTAGCGGCCACCAATGCAAGGTGAAAATAAGCGGCAGTGAAAAAAAAAAGTGAACGAGAACACATACGACATTTCCTCCATGAATCGTGTAAGTTTCTGGAAGTTTCACGTTGTAGTCGTGCAAAACAACGGCAAAGAAATGTACAAAAAAAGTGTGCTGCACGTGCAAAGTTGCTTTTTCTGCTAAATAGACCTATAGTTGTTTTTCACCATTCTCCAGCGTTGCCTTCCCCGCTTAGCATTACACGATTTTATATTTTTTTGAACAAACTATAAATACTATCGAGAGCTTCGCTCTTAGCCCTGGCTAGATCTACATATTATTTTTACACTTTTTTTCAAAACTCAAGGACCACTTTATTTAGCTTACCACTGCTGTGGTATCCCTATTTACATAGGCTAGTGTAACCTCTCTTATCATAAAGCCATTCCTGCCTCCACTTTGAGTGACCAGCAACGATTTTCTCCTAACATCATCACCACATCATAAAATGAAAAGGTTATGAGAATTGTTAAAAAGATCACAATCGAGTAAATCATGAAACAAATTATTCTCGAATAATCCTTTCAGAAAATGTATAAACTAGGACGGTCTGGACAATTTGTTAATATTGGGGTTGAGAAGGGTTAAGCAACACCCCCCCCCCCGACAAGTAAGATCCTTCAAATTATGATTACAATTCCTGTGAGCCAGTCAAAACAAGACAAACTAATCACCGTTGCTGATTGTACTTTATTTTTCCCACACTGCACCTGATTGGTTTATTCCTTGTGACACAAGAACATTCCAGCAATGTTTAGAAAACAGCCTTATAAAATTTTTTATTTCTTGGTCGTAAAGTTCTCGAACTAAAATGTTCAGCGTGATAATCATCTGATAATAAAAACAACTTTGTAAAATTTAAACCATGTATTATTTAAAAACTGATTTGCTTTAGTTTCTCAGAAATACTGCTCATGCAATAGAATAATTACTAAAGGCTTGCTGCTCCAGTCTTACATAATAGCATAGCATCAATTTCCAACCCAGCCCGTTACACACACACACACACGCATACACACACACACACACACCCACACACACACAGCATTACAAGCCATCACACAGCATCACAAGCCCTCACACACCATCAAAAGGCCTCACACAGCATCAAAGGGCATCACACTGCATCACAAGGCTTCACACTGCATCACAAGGCTTCACATAGCATCAAAAGGCATCACGCACCATCACAAGGCATCAAAGGGGCTCACATAGCGGATCCAGGATGTAGTTAAGGGGGTTCTAAGAATTGTCCACGAAAAGTGGAGCCTCTAGGGGGTTCTAGGGGCATACAAAGCATGAAACATGAATTCCTGTGTTTTCCGTCTCTTTTAGCTTCTTTTCCCTTCATTTTCAAAAACAAACGTATAGTATTTGTTGGTGATGTTTTATTTTATGGTGTTCGACCGAACAAACCAAACCACCACTGGATCCGCTCCAGCTCCGAAACCCTGAAGAGGCGGGTGAATAGGGGTATGCAAATTCACCGATCCGTGCTATTTTTTTGCCCGATCCGTTGATCCGACGTTATTTTCACTCCAATTACCCTAAAAATTTCCTTGGTGTACTAACATAGGATGTATGTGGATATATATTTTTGTTTTGTATTTCCCCTAGTTGTCTTTGCCAGTTTATGTGACCATGACAAATAGATCAAATAATTGTTCGATGCTTTCAAAAATTGTACCTCTGCAATCTAATCCCCAAGGTTGTATCTTTGTTCTCGTGCACGAACTCGATAATGTTGAGAGACCCCCTTAAGAGAAAATAGACGGTCTGTAAACAGGTAGCCTGATTCTGAGACGGTCCAGCCATTCAGGTCGCTCTGGAGAGAATGACCGCAGGTGACTTGTACCTTCTGAGAATCAGAATAGTGAACAGGCTGACCTGGAACAGGTTAAGATCGGAGAAGTCAGAACCAAAAATGTATCACTGCATACAGTCATATACAACACATATACTTATTGTATATAGCTTTTTCGGGCGAGGAAGCCTTGTCGGGAATAAGAGTAAAAAGTGCACGCGACAATTCCGAAAGCTATTGTGGGTGGTTTTAAGATTCCATGACCTTCCCCTCCACTGTTTAAACTGCACTGTGGGCCCAAAAGGGGGTAATTTTCCTTTTTTTAATGATATTTTAACATATCCTTATCAAGTTATATTTTTTATAACATTGTTTAATACCCTTTTTACTTTTTTTAAACATGCAGTGAATTATCAGTATCAGTGAGTAAAAGTTGTTTGACAAATCTTGAAAAAAAAATTGCATAAAACCCACACGTTGTACGCTCTTTAGGGTGAAATAGACAGATTTGCAAAACATGTTGTTAAGGTTTTATCTCTACACCGACGAGTTATCATTTGAGACCAGCTAAAAGTTCATGATACCTCGCTCTCTATAAAGATCGTCAATGTATCGTGCCTTTCGGAAGGGTGACCCTATTGGGCCGAATGGCGGACTGACGGAATGACGGAATGGAATGGCGGTATACACGGAATATCCTAAAATACGAAATATAAGGAATATACTAAAAGATGGAATTTACACAATATTCTAAAACAAAACACGGAATATTAAAATTCTAAAACGCAGAATAAGGAAAAAATCGTTTAAAAAGGACATACATGTATACAGTCAACTCTCATAACTCGAACCCTTGCTACTGACTCGAACCTCGTGCTAACTCGAAGTAATACTAAGTTTTGTTTCTCTTCAGATCATTTCTATATAATTTTACCCTCAATAACTCGAACCATGTTTTAAGTGCGCGACCAGTAAAAAAATAGACTTACTGTAATGATTCGATTTGGCGCCCAGGGCGCTTATATTATTTACTTTGGTGCCCCAAGGGAGGACGCTTATTCAGGACAGGGCGCTTACTTCTTTTTTGAGAAAAACCGAAAATTAAAAAAAAAAACACTTTAATATTTATTTAAAAACGAACAATATTTGAAACTGTAACAGTGACAAATACTGACGGTGAATGTT